CACTCTGCTTCCCTGTCTCCTCCCACACTCCTCACCAGTCTCACAGGTCTGCAAGGCCCCCCACCATCTCACAGGTCTAAATGGCCCCCTACCATCTCACAGGTCTGCACGGCCCCCCCACAATCTCACAGGTCTGCACAGCCCCCCACCATCTCACAGGTCTAAATGGCCCCCCCATCTCACAGGTCTAAACGGCCCCCCACCATCTCACAGGTCCGCACAGCCTCCCACCATCTCGCAGGTCCGCGTCGTCCCCCCACCAGCTCGCAGGTCCACATGGCCCCCTCACCATCTCGTAGGTCTGCATGGCCAGCTGCACCTTGTCGTCACTGTACTCCTTGCACTTGCTGTAGGCGCTCTGGATCTTCTGCAGGTGCTCCACGCGCTGGTCTGGGGAGAGGGTCTTCACTGTGGAGATGTACTCAGCAGCTAGGATGTCGATCTCAGCCTTCTTATCTGAGAGAAGTAGGGAAACAGACCCCTCCATAAGGAGCTTCCACTGCAGGCCCAAAGAGGGAAAAACAAAAGTCCGCCAACTCTGCCAAACAAAAGCTCCGGCAGAGATGCGGACGATGCGGACCCTACAACGCTGCTGGTGGAGCGTGAGCTGGCACAGCCATTTGCAGGGCAGCTCGGGATCATTCAGACATGCACACTTGTGACGGAGTCAATCTGCCCAGGACAGTCCAGTCTGCCTGCCATCCAGCATCAGCGTCCCAGTGCCCCTCTGACTACTAGGGGACCCTGTTCGGATAATAAACTATGGACTCACCCTTCCTAAGACCTGGCCCACTGCTTGTAGGTGTGCACTCTAAAGATCTGAGTAGATACATGCCAGAAAACACGCCTTACAGCACAAAATGGGAAACAACCAAATGTCCAACGTACAGTAAAAGAGATCGCTAAGGCGCGTGGTCTTCCCACTCGTCTGTCAGTTTGTTGTACTGTGGTGGCTGTGCGTTGCTGTGATGCTGGCAGCTGTGCCACCCTATTCAAATACCACAGCAGGGTCACCCATGGAGGACAGGTTTCAGCTGAGCTTCAAGACAAAGACAGACTAGGAAGAAGGACTCGGCAGCCTATTTCTGAAAAAAATTAGCCAGTGAAAACCTTATGAATAGCAGCAGAACATTGTCTGATATAGTCCCAGAAGATGAGCCCCTCAGGTTGGAAGGCGCTCAAAATATGACTGGGGAAGAGCTGTCTCCTCAAAGTAGAGTCAACCTCAATGACGTGGATGGAGTCAAGTTTTCGGGACCTTCATTTGATGTGGCATGACTCAATATGAGAAGAAACAGCTGCAAACGTTCATCAATAATAGAAATGTGGGATGTAGGACGTATGAATCTAGGAAAACTGGAAATCATCCGAAATGAACTGGAACGCATAAACATCCATATGCTAGGCATTAGTGAGCTGAAACGGACTGGTGTTGGCCATTTTGAATCGGACAATCCCACGGATACTATGCCGGGAATGACAACTTGAAGAGGAATGGCGTTGCACTCATCATCAAAAAGAACATTTCAAGATCTATCCTGAAGTGCAACGCTGTCAGTGATAGGATGATATCTATACGCCTACAAGGAAGACCAGTTACTACAACTATTATTCAAATTTACGCACCAACAGCTAGGGCCAAAGATGAAGAAATTGAAGATTTCTACCAACTTCTACAGTCTGACATTGATCAAACATGCAATTAGGATGCAACGGTAGTTACTGGTGATTGGAATCTGAAAGTTGGAAACAAAGATCGGTAGGTGGAAAACACAGCCTTGGTGATGGCAATGACACTGGAGATTCCATGACAGAATTTTGCAAGGCCAATGACTTCTTCATTGCAAATACCTTTTTTCAGCAACATAAACAGTGACTATACAAGTGGACCTCACCAGATGGAACAGACAGGAATCAAATCGACTACATCTGTGGAAAGAGACGATGGAGAAGCTCAGTATCATCTGTCAGAACAAGGCCAGGGGTCAACTGTGGAAAAGACCATCAACTGCTCATATGCAAGTTCAAGCTGAAGCTGAACAACATTAGAACAAGTCCCCGACAGCCAAGATACGACCCTGAATATATCCCACCTGAATTTAAAGACAATCTCAAAAACAGATTTGAGGCATTGAACACTAATGACCGAAGACCAGATGAGTTGTGGAATGACATCAAGGACTACTTATGAAGAAAACAAGAGGTCATTAAAAAGACAGGAAAGCATGAAAAGACCAAAATGGATGTTAGAAGACTCTGAAACTTGCTCTTGAAGGTCAAGTAGCTAAAGCAAATGGAAGAAATGATGAAGTAAAACAGCTGAACAGATTATTTCAAAGGGCGGCTCGAGAAGACAAATTATTACAATGACACGTGCAAAGACCTGGAGTTAGAAAACCAAAAGGGAATAACATGCTCAGCATTTCTCAAGCTGAAAGAACTGAAGAAAAAATTCAAGCCTCAAGTTGCAATACTGAAGGATTCTATGGTCAAAATAATGAATGATGCAGGAAGCCTCAAAAGAAGATGGAAGAAATACACAAGTCACTGAACCAAAAAGAACTGGTCGATGTTAAATCATTTCAGGAAATAGCATATGATCAAGAACCGATGATACTGAAGAAGTCCAAGCTACACTGAAGGCACTGGCGAAAAACAAGGCTCCAGGAATTGAGATGTTTCAACAAACAGCACTGGAGGTGCTCACTCATCTACACCAAGAAATTTGGAAGGCAGCTACCTGGCCAACTGACTGGAAGAGATTCATATTTACACCTATTCCAGAGAAAGGTGAGCCAACCCAACGTGGAAATTATTGAACAATATCATTAATATCACACACAAGTAAAATTTTGCTGAAGATCATTCAAAAGCGGTTGCAGCAGTACATCAACAGGGAACTTCCAGAAATTCAAGCCAGATTCAGAAGAGGAGGTGGAACCAGGGATATCATTGTTGATGTCAGATGCATCCTGGCTGAAAGCAGAGAACACCAGAAAGATGTTTACCTGTGTTTCACTGACTATGTAAAGGCATTCGACTGTGTGGATCATAACAAATTACGAATAACACTGTGAAGAATGGGAATTCCAGAACACTTAATTGTCCTCATGAGGAACCTGTACATAGATCAACAGGCAGTTGTTCAAACAGAACAAGGGGATACTGCATGGCTTAAAGTCAGGAAAGGTGTGTGTCAGGGTTGTATCCTTTCACCATACCCATTCAATCTGTACGCTGAGCAAATAATCTGAGAAGCAGGACTATATGAAGAAGAATGAAGCATCAGTACTGGAGGAAGACCCATTAACAACCTGCGATATGCAGATGACATAACCTTGCTTGCTGAAAGTGAAGAGGACTTGAAACACTTACTGATGAAGATCAAAGACCACAGCCTTCAGTATGGATTACACCTCAACATAAAGAAAACAAAAATCCTCACAACTGGACCAATAAGTGACATCATGATAAATCAAGACTGAAGTTGTCAAGGATTTCGTTGTACTTGGATGTACAATCAATGCCATATTGCATTGCGCAAATCTGCTGCAAAAGATCTCTTTAAAGTGTTGAAAAGCAAAGATGTCACTTTAAGGACTAAGGTGTGCCTGACCCAAGCCACGGTGTTTTCAATCGCCCCATATGCATGTAAAAGCTGGACAATGAATAACAGGGAAGAATTGATGCCTTTCAATTATGGTGTTGGTGAAAAATACTAAATACATAATGGACTGACAAAAGAATGAACAAATCTGTCTTGGAAGAAGTACAGCCAGAATGCTCCTTAGAAGCAAGGATGGCGAGACTATGCCTCATACTTTGGACATGTTATCAGGAGGGATCAGTGCCTAGAGAAGTACATCATGCTTGGTGAAGTAGACGGTCAGCGAAAGAGAGGAAGACCCTCCACAAGCGGGACTGACACAGTGGCTGCAACGATAGGCTCAAGCATAACAACGACTGTGAGGAGGGCACAGGATGGGGCAGGGTTTCGTTCTGTCGTGCACAGGGGCGCGATGAGTCGGAACCGACTCCACGGCACCTCACAGCAACAAGTCGTGGTCCACTCACACAGCAGCAAAAATAGCAAATAGAGCCACATGTGACCCCAGGGACTGAGCCCACAGAAGGGCACACAGAGCAAAAAAGCAACACACAAGGAACACGCTGTGGGGCTCATTAACATAAAACGCAGAAACAGGCACGACCCAGCCTCTGGTCTACGGAAGGGCTGTCACCAAACTGAGGATGGTGGCAGGGGCAGGCTGTCATGGTTGAGAGGGTCACACGGGCTTCCAGGTGCTCCGCCGGTGGTGGTGGCAGAGAGGTTCTGCTAACACTACTTGTCACGTTCTCCAGAAACATCTTACGCTTGTTTCTGAACGTGCGCTATACTTCACAATAAAAGACACTTTTGTCTTCCACGGTCAAGATGTTCTACCCAAGTGAAAAACCACAAGTACTTCAGCCTCGCAAAACATGTAGCCAACACAACCAATAAAAATCACCCACACCAAAGCACATCATCATGAAATTCGAAACCCCAAGGATAAAGAGAATATCCCAAAAGCTTCTGAAGATGAGTGGGGAATAAACAGATAACACATACAAAAGATCAGGAATCCAAACAGCGTCGAACTTATCAAAAACAACACAGAAGCTAGAAGACAACGCAGCAATACCTTCGACTTTCTGTGGAAAATGATTGCCAGCCTGGAATTCTACACTCAGACAAGCTACCGATCCACTATGAGGCTAGAACAAGTGTTTTCAGACATGAGCCTTTATAAGACATTTACCACCCCTTGTACCCTTTCTCAAGAAACTACCGAGGAAAGGCTCCACAAAGACAAGTGAATAAACCAAGAAAGAAGACGCCTGAGACCCAGGAACACAGCCCAACACTGAAGCGAGGTGAAGGGATACGTCAGGAAAATCCCAAGGCAGCACCCATGCAGCAGGCCTAGAAACAGCTGATCCAGACTGGACAGAGGGCTCCAGCACAGGGGTCTCCAAGGAAAAACCCGCGTGTGCGGCCACGGTGAATAGCGCCTTACAGCTCTTGGGGGGAGGGGTGGAGTCAGAATGCGGAGAAAGCAGCCAACAAACCAACAAAGCAATTGTAATGTCACGAAAAACACAGTCATGAAGAAAAGGTCACGTAAGCACTGACAGTGGTCACTCGTTTGTGCACATCTACATGCTGCCCTGGCCGAGTCACTGTTGCTGGTCCCACCACCAATTCTAGCATAAGGCACCCAGGAGGCAGGGAAGTGGGGAGGGGGGAGGGTGGTGCCCAAACTGGCGGGGGCAGTGCCTTTGGAGAGGTAATCCTGATTTTCCACAGTGTAACTGTGCAATGAAGAATTGGAGGAAGACTCATTAACAACCTGCGATATCCAGAAGACACAACCTTGCTTGCTGAAAGTGAAGAAGACTGGAAGCATCTACTGATGAAGATCAAATACTATAGCCTTCTGTATGGATTACACTTCAACATAAAGGAAACAAAAATCCTCTCAACTGGACCAATAAGCAAAATCATGATAAATGGAGAAAATATCAAAGTTGTAAAGGATTTCATTTCACTTGGATCCACAATCAATGTCCATGGAAGCAGCAGTCAAGAAATCAAATGATATATTGCATTGGACAAATCTGCTGTAAAAGACCTCTTTAAAGTATTGAAAAGCAAAGACGTCACTTTAAGGACTAAGATGCGCCTGATCCAAGTCATGGTGTTTCCAATAGCCTCATATGCATGTGCAAGCTGGACAATGAATAAGGAAGACCAAAGAAGAACTGACGCCTTTGAATTATGGTGTTGCCGAAGAATACTGAATATACCATGGACTGCCAGAAGAATGAACAAATCTGTCTTGGAAGAAATACCGCCAGAGTGCTCCTTGGAAGCCAGGATGGTAAGACTTCGTCCCATATACTTTGAACCTGTTACCAGGAGGGACCAGTCCCTGGAGAAGGACATCATGCTGGGTAAAGTAGACAGTCAGCGAAAAAAAGGAAGACCCTCAAGGAGATGGACTGGCAGTGGCTGCAAAAATGGGCTCAAGCATAGCGACGACTGTTGACGGCGCAGGACTGGGCAGTGTTTCATTGTGTTGTACACAGGGTCACGATGAGTGCAACCGACTCAAGGGCACCTAACAACAACCACAGAAAAAACGATTTGGCTGGCCTTTGTCCCTGGCTCCTTGAAGTAACTTCCCCAGAGACAGAAGTCTTTGTTATTCATAGTGGGCCTGGAGCACACCTGATCTTTTAAGCTAACAGATGACTGGAGGCCACTCCAGAAAGATCAACCCTGTGACTAGGGGGTTGGGGCTTTGGGCCAGGTGACATCAGCCCCAAACCTGAGGTGGCGGGGGGGGGGGGGGGGTGGAGAACTGGTCTAATCAATCACGTCTATGCACTGAAAACCCAATAAAAACTACGGACCCCGAAGCTTAAGGGTGCGTCCCTGGTTGGCAACACCTGGTGCCTGCTGCCACACATCATGGCCAGGAGGAGACAGCCCATCCTGACTCCACAGTGGGGAGCCTCCAGACTCCCCCAGTGGCTCACTCCCTTTGGCTGGTTCTGATCTGACTCATTTTGCTGTAAAAAAACCGACATCCTAAGTACAGTGCCTTCCTGAGTTCTAGCCAATTACTGAACCTGAAGGAGACCGTGGAGACCCCCGAATGTGTAGGCAGCTGGTCAGATGTGAGGGTGGGTGGCCCTGTGGATGCCCAGCCTGGAGGCTGGTGTCAGAAGTGTGGGCAGTCCCGTGAGGACGTGCCCTCAGACTGGGCGGTTTGCAGCTTGTCGCAGTAACCATACAGATAAAATCTAAAACTGAAGGGAAATAAAAAACAAAAGTCGCAGCAAGAAGACATTCTTTAGAAATAGGGAGTTCAAGACCAAGAGGCCAGAAACTGTGATCTAAACTTTTCAGCTAGGCACAGTTTAAAACTAGAAAATGTTTACAAGGAAAGAAAAAGGTAGCAGAGGCACTTTGACAGGACAAAAGCGGATGAGGGTCATGAAGATTTGTACTAAGAATCCAAGAAACTAAATTCGATCGACAACATATCAGCACCCTCTCAAGCCACTGCACACGCGGTGTCCACAGCCTAGGCCAGGCAGCAGCCCGCTGCCCCGAGCTCCATCCTCAAAGCCCTCTGCCACCCCCAGTTCCCATGCCTTCGTGCCTCAGCTCCCAGCTGCACGGCAGGCCTGCACCCACCTTCTGTCCTCTGGTCCAGCTCTCGCATCAGCTGGAAGTTCCTCTGCAGCTCACAGGGAAGGTTCTCAATACCTAAAACACAGAGAAGGGCGGCTCTGCGTGAGTCTCAACAGGAGGACAAAGACCTGCCTGCAAGGTTCCGGAGCTAATGTCTACAAGCAACAGGCCCACCTTCCTCGTCTGCTTCTGCTGGGGTTTGGGGAAGAGAAGGACAAAAATCTTTTTCAGGGACGAGCACCAAACACAGCTGGCAGAGGCTGACACACGTCAGAAATGAAGAGGTTAGCAGTGACGGAGAAACGAGCTGAAGGCAGGACAAGGAAGACGGCCCATGGACCTGCCAGCACCCAAGAGCTACCACCGCACTCGGACCTGCCATTACCCTGGGACCCACCATCGCCCCCGGACCCGGCATGCTCTGTGACCTTCCCTTCACTTTCCTGAGACCCGAGCATCGAGGTACAGACCAGCACTGCCGGAATTTCCTCCAGGAGGGAACGCTCTCTCTAGCTGCCTGGCACAGCAGCTAGCGAGCACCTGAAACGTGGCTAGCGCACTGAGGAAACGCAGTGTTAGGTTTACTTAATGATAATAAATTGAAGGCTAAGCGGCTCCTGAGGCTGGGGGCTACAGTACTGGACCACACAGGTCAGAGGACCCCACCCCCAGCTCTTCTCCCATCCTGGCCACCCTCATGCTCACTCTCACCTGCACGGCCACGACAGCTCCCACCTGCTCTCCCCGTGGCCAGCCTTACCCGGGCCCCTACACGGCTGCCAGGAGGTCATTTCAACACCTAAACCACATTTTACAGATCCACCACCTAACGCCTGCTGGTTCCCTGTAGCCCTGTATCTTCTGTGAACTTTCAATCCCCGTCCTACCCACGTGGCAGTAAGTTGCAGGAGCACAAGGCCATTCAGCTTCCTGGGCTTCCTGGTCCCCACCTGGCACAGCATGCCACGGTGCTCAGGAGGGGGCAGGAGCAACTGTCCCTGTACGCACACAGGAGACGCACACGTGTCCCTGAGCCCTGCTTTCTGAGCACCCACTGCACCCTGTGGGCAGGGCCAGGATACAGAGGAGGCCACCATGCTCTTCATCAGATGCTGGGGTACTCCTGGGCCATGGCCGGCTCTGCTAACTGGCTCCACTAACTGTCTTTACTGATGATGGGGTAAAAGCATCCCCTCACCATGCTCCCCATTCTGGCTCTTCCACCCAGGGACCCCCACTGCTCAGGCCGGGCTAAGGGGCAAAATAAAAATCCGATGCCCTCAAGTCGATTCCAACTCACAGTGACCCTACAGAACAGAGCAGAACTGCCCCATAGGGTTTCCAAGGAGCAGCTGGTGGTTTCGAACTGCCGACCTTTTGGTTAGCAGCCAAGCTCTTAATCACTGCGCCACCAGGGGGCAGAATGAACGGTGCAGACTGGGCGTCCTCACTGTTGCCAGCTAGGGGCACGTGGCTCACTGGCTCCTCTGAGCAAGCTCAGCGGGCTTCCCAAGCCGCCAGGCCAGCAAGGCTGTCCGAGTCCCCAAGGCAGCACTCCCAAAGGAGATGGTCTGGCCAGACCACCTGAAGCACTGACCAGCTCAGTCCCCGCCCAGCCCCAAGAACATCACCTGCCCCACGACCTCTGGGTTCAAACACGAGCTCTGTCACTCAGCTCGCTGTGGGACCTTGTGCGGGTGACCAGCCTCTCTGAGCCTCAGTTTCCTCAACTGTAAAATGGGGGTACGACCACTCAGGAGGTTCCCACGAGAAGCCTGTTGCTTCACGTAAAGTAGGAAGAAGACAACTAACCACTGGGAGGCTCCGAGGGCGTCTCCGGTTAGAATACCCGTCGTGGTTCTTACCACTTTAACGAGCCCAGTAACGCCCAGGAGCATTCTGATCATGGTGGCGCGGGGAAGTTAACCAAAGAGAGGAAAAGAATACAACTCACCAACCCAGCATCCCCGCCCCCACTGTGCTGATGCAGAAACTGAGGCTGAGCGCTGAGAAGACGGCTGCAGGTGACAGCACACATAGGGGCACAACTCAGACCCGGAACCCCGGAGGCCTGGTCTGCTCCAGTGTACCACAGACCACCCCTGGCCCTGGCCCTAGCCCTGGCTAGGCCCTGCCCATGAAGCAAAGGCGGGGCCTGAACGTACCTGGCTCCGCCCGACCCAAGAGGGTCCGCCCTGTCATAAGGCCCCGCCCATATGGCAGAACCCACCTCATCATCCAGTTTCCACCCAGTCCTCCGGGTCCCTCTATGCTCAGGTGGACCCACTATTCGGGCCCCGCCCCCTTATCCCGCCTCTCCATCCAGACCCCGCCCCCCGTCTTGCCCCGCCCCATCCCAAAGGCACTGCCCTGCCCATCTGGCCCCACTATCCAGGCCCCGCCCCGCCACCCAGGCCCCGCCCCACAGGCCTGGCCCGGCCCGGCCCCCCGATATTCAGGTCCCGCCCTGTCATCCAGGTCCCGACCTGCCCGCCCGGCCC